AAATAATAGGGTAGTGAAAAGACTAAAATACCCTTTAAAAATCCTGGATTGGACATTTCCTTAATCCAACAAACCCAACTTCCAAAGTGGATAACTTGCTCATACGAACTCGGAATTGAGGAAACTTGGCGGCGTTGGAAAGATCATTCCAAGATATTTTCAACCATATCTGGAATTACACCTAACTCATCATGAGATAGGAGTTATGGTCGTTTAAAGTTGACTAAAAACTCACTTTTCCTAACTTGACAAATTTCCAGATTTTAATTCTTTCAAAACAAAATATATGACTATTTCCAATTATAAGCTTCTTCTTAGTTATATAAAATTGCGATATGTTACAATATCTCCCCCTTGGGAACATTCGTCCTCGAATGAAATTACTTTTACTAGGTTAAGGGTGGTAACATCAAGTTCAAACACCCCACAAGTAAATGCAAACAAATAACATGCTCACTCATGATTTAAAGAGTACTAAGAAGAGAATTAGTACCTTGGTCTGCACTTTCTTCGGATTCAAAGAGATGTGGATATCTCTTCTAAATATCTTTTTCAGCTTCCCATGTAGTTTCTTCAACAAATTGGTTCCTCCAAAGGACTTTGACTGATGCAACCTCTTTTGTTCTTAACTTGCGCACTTGGCGATCTAGAATTTGGATAGGAATCTCCTCAAAAGATATGCTATCCTTGATCTCAATATTTTCAGTTGGTATGATCAATGAATGATCTCTCACACACTTCTTCAACATGGAGATGTGAAACACCGAATGAACCATTACTAGCTCTTGTGGTAGCTCTTACTCATAAGCTACATTGCCCATCCTTTTTTATATTCGATAGGGCCCAATATACCGGGGACTAAGCTTCCCCTTCTTACCAAACCTCATAACACCCTTCATGGGTAAAACTTTTAGATATACCCAATCATCTACTTCGAAATCTAACGGCCTTCTCCTAACATCAGTGTAGGATATTTGACGACTCTGCACCATTTTCTACCTCTCTTGAATCACTTTCACATTCTCCATAGCTTGGTGAACTAAATCTAGTCCTATCAACCTTGCGTCACCAACTTCAAACCATCCAATAGGAGATCTGCATCTTCTCCCATAAAGTGCTTCATATGGAGCCATTTGGATGCTAGAGTGGTAACTGTTGTTGTAAGCAAACTCAATTAAAGGTAGGTGATCATCCCAATTACCTTTAAAATCAATCACACATGCCCTCAACATATCTTCTAACGTCTGAATAGTATGCTCTGCTTGCCCATCTATTTGAGGATGAAAGGCAGTACTCAAGTTCATCCTTGAACCCAAACCTTTCTGAAATAATTTCCAGAATTGTGCAGTAAATTGTGTACCCCTATCTGAAATAATGGAGACTGGAACCCCATGAAGTCTTACCACCTCTTGAATATAAAGCTTAGCATAATCTTTTGCTGAGTTGGTAGTCTTTACCGGTAAAAAGTGGGTTGATTTCGTCATTTTGTCGACAATCACCCAAATAGAATCATGCTGTCTGCGAGACCTTGGCAAGCCTATGAAGAAATCCATATTGATCATCTCCCACTTCCATTCCGGAAGTTCTATATTCTGAGCCAAACCACCGGGATTTTGATGTTCTACTTTTACTTGTTGGCAATTTGGACACTTAGCAATAAATTATGCAATGCCCTTCTTCATGCCATTCCACCAATACACTTCTTTCAAGTCATGGTACATCTTGGTGGAACCCGGATGAATGAAATATCTGGAGCTATGAGCTTCCTCCATGATCCTCTCTAGGAGTTCATCCACCATTGGTACGCACAGCCTACCTTGATATGTCAATACACCATATCCCCTTTGTTCAAAAGCTAATACTTTTTGCTTATGAAGATTTGCCTTTAAATCTAGCAAAATGAGATCTTGGTCTTGCTTTTCTTTCAATTTTGACACTAGTGATGATTCAGCCCCATTCGTTACCACTATTCCTCCTTCTGTAGAATCCATAAGTCTGACTCCCAGGCGTGCAAGTTTGTGCACATCTTTGGCTAGTTCTTTCTTCCCTTCCTCAAGATGGGCGGTACTACCCATAGACAACCTGCTTAAGGCATCAACAACAACATTAGCCTTACCTGGGTGCAGGGGCGGACCTACATGGTCCTACATGGGTGCTCGAGCACCCATTAATCTCGTATCGAATTATATATATTTACATAGAAATAAAGAAGAATTGTATATATTTTATTAGAGAGCACCATAGGAACAATGACTTAATTGGCGTGGTGGTTTATTGTGGGTGCTCAAGGTCTTTCATTCTTTTTATTTCTTTGCCAGAGGTTCGATTCCCTCCAAAGACATTATTTTTAGTTTAAAAATAATCTCTTCCTTACTTATTTATTCTAATTGGACTTTTTTTTTTCTCCCATGCAGATTGTTGCTTTTTCTCTTTCGCTAGTGGCCTTTTCTAACTTTTTTTATCATTTTTTTTATCCAAGATAATTTTTATTGTAATTTTTCTTCTTTAATTTTTTTTATTATCGTGCTTAAATATGATTGTCCTTTTTCATAACAAGTGTTAAACTTGTGCACTTATATTTGTGATTGATAACTAAGCAATAACGGAATATACTCGAGGGGTGTCGATCGACAATTCTTTGTCGGAAGATTATACGTGTAGTTAGGTAAAAACAATTTAAAATAATATATATATAAATATAGACACCCCTCCAAAGACATTATTTTTAGTTTAAAAATAATCTCTTCCTTACTTATTTATTCTAATTGGACTTTTTTTTTTTCTCCCATGCAGATTGTTGCTTTTTCTCTTTCGCTAGTGGCCTTTTCTAACTTTTTTTATCATTTTTTTTATCCAAGATAATTTTTATTGTAATTTTTCTTCTTTAATTTTTTTTATTATCGTGCTTAAATATGATTGTCCTTTTTCATAACAAGTGTTAAACTTGTGCACTTATATTTGTGATTGATAGCTAAGCAATAACGGAATATACTCGAGGGGTGTCGATCGACAATTCTTTGTCGGAAGATTATACGTGTAGTTAGGTAAAAACAATTTAAAATAATATATATATAAATATAGACACTCCTTAGCTTCTACACGATTTTACTTCTTTATATTTTGACACTCCTTAGTCGAAATTTTCGATCCGCCACTATAGCTAAGGGAGCACCCACAACCTTGAAATCCTGGATCCGCCACTGCCTGGGTGGTAAATAATACTCATGTCATAATGTTTGAGTAACTCTAACCACCTTCTTTGTCTGAGATTGAGCTCTCTCTACGTGAACCCATATTGTAGGCTCTTGTGATCGATGAACACATCAATATGAACACCATACAAATAGTGATGCCATATCTTCAGAGCAAATACTACAACAGCCAACTCTAAGTCATGGGTTGGGTAGTTCTTCTCATGAACTTTTAACTGTCTGGAGGCATAAGCTATAACTTTGCCATTCTGCATTAAAACACAACCCAAGCCAACTCTAGATGCATCACAATACACCACAAAACCTTGAGTACCTTTCGGTAATGTCAAAACTGGAGCAGTCGTCAACCTCTTCTTCAATTCCTGAAAGTTTTTTCTCACAAGCTTCAAACCATTGAAATTTTACTGTTTTCTAAGTCAATTTCGTCAAAGGTGACAAAATGGACGAGAACCCCTCTACAAACTATCTATAATAGTCAGCCAAACCCAAGAAACTCCTAATATCAGTTGGAGATGTGGGTCTAGGCAAATTCTGCATTGCCTCAATTTTCTGAGTATCGACTTTAATTCCCTCTCCAGACACAATATGGCCTAAGAATGCCACAGACTCAAGCCAAAATTCACACTTAGAGAGTTTAGCATATAATTAATTATCTTTCAAAGTCTGAAGAACTATTCTGAGATGGCTAGCATGATCTTCTTCATTTCTTGAATAGATTAGTATGTTATCAGTGAAGACGATAACAAACATATCTAAATAAGGTTTGAAGACACTATTCATAAGATCCATGAACGATTCTGGTGCATTAGTCAACCCAAATGACATGACCAAAAACTCATAATGACCATATCTGGTTCTGAAAGCTGTCTTTGGAATATCACATTCCCTTACTCTTAATTGATGATAGCGTGATCTGAGGTCAATTTTCGAGAAACAGGAAGCACCCTGAAGCTAATCAAAAATATCACCAATTCTTGAAAAAGGATACTTATTCTTGATAATAACCTTGTTCAACTGACGATAATCTATACACATCCTAAGGGAACCATATTTCTTTCTCACAAACAAGATCGGAGAGCCCCAAGGTGAGACACTTGATCGAATATATCCTTTCTCTAATAGGTCGTTCAACTGTTCTTTGATCTGGTGTCATTCTATATGGCGGAATAGATATAGGACGAGTATCTGGAATAAGATTTATACCAAAGTCTATCTTTCTCTCAGGAAGGACTCCGAGAAGATCCTTTGGAAAGACTTCTGGAAACTCATTCACTACTAAAACTGACTGAATATGAGGTACTTCAACACTTGAGTCATTAACTCAGGCTAAGTGATAAACACACCCCTTAGAAACCAACTTTCTTGCCTTAAGGTACGAAATGAAACGACCCTTAGGCACTGCTGAACTGCTTTTCCACTCTAAGACTGGCTAATTTGGAAACTGAAACTTGACTACTCGAGTTCTACAATCAACTGAGGCATAGCATGTATGAAGCCAGTCCATACCAAGAATGGCATCAAAGTCTACCATGTCTAACTCAATTAAATTAGCCATGGTACTCTTGTGATTGACAGAAATGGACAATCACGATAGACTCTCTCTGCTATAATAAACTTACCAACATGTGTGGAAACACTAAATGGTTCACTAAGTTGCTCAGGAATAACATCAAAATTCATAGCAACATAAGGAGTTACAAAAGACAAACTCGCTCCTGGGTCTAGCAAAGCATAAACAGTAAAGTCAAAGACTTGAATCATACCAGTGACAACATCTAGCAAATCCTCTTACTCTTGGTGACTAGTAATCGCATAGAGGCGGTTTGCTCCTCTGCCAGTACAGAAAGTAGCCCCTCTAGGTGTAGCTCTGTCTAGTGGAGCAACTGAAGACGACTGGGCTTTATTTCCCCCATTACCACTTCCGTGCTTGTTCTTTGGACACTCTCGCATGAAATGCCCAGTCTAACCACACTTGAAACAACCAGTGGAGCCCTCACGACAAATACCTGAGTGGTCCCTACCACACTTGGCGAAGGCAGGAGGCTTACTTCCCCCTTGCGCCATACTACCCTGGGAATAAACAGGTTTAGTTCTGGAATTCTGACCATAGTACTCACCTTTGTTCTTAGGTGCATGTGCACTAGCAGATGAATGAGCAGGTCCCTTTTGTTTCTGTTGGAAGGATGACCGGTTGGTATTACTCTTCTGCTGCCCAGACTCATTCCCTGTCTTAGCCCTCTTGTTCTTGAATTCCTTTATGTCCCTCAGCTTCTCTTCCTCTACTTGTTGCATATAAACCATCAACCTCAAAATGTCCATGTCTCCAATAAGCATTGCTGCTCGGCCCTCTTTGCTTGATAGACGGCCCAACTCAGCAACAAACAAGCTCATTCTACTCCTCATGTCCTTAACCATCTCCGGAGTATATCGGGATAGTTGGGTGAACTTCAACCCATACTCATGCACACTCAAAGAATCTTGCTTAAGTGTGAGGAACTCACGTACCTTGGCCTTTTTAAGTTCCTGGGGAAAGAAACGTCCCAAGAAAGCCTCTTCAAAACATGCCCAACTGGCAGATGGTGCATCTTCAACTCTACTCCTTTTCCACTGATCATACCAAGTCCTCGCAACATTTTTCATCTGATATGCAGCTAGCTCAACTCTCGCAGTATCATCAACATGCATCACATAAACACCTTTTTCAGTTCCTCAATGAAGTTCACTGGGTCCTCTGTAGTGCTCGAACCAGTGAAACTTGGGGGATTCATTCTCAGGAACTCGCGAATCCTTGAAGTGTCAGCCTCTTCTTGTCGAGCTCCTTTTTGCTGCCCAGCTTGATTGGTTACAACCTGACTGAGCATTCTAATAGCCTCTATGAACTCAACATTAGAGACTTCTCCTTGCGGTTGCACTTCAGGTGCATTGGGTAGTTCTTGCTCCTCAACATTCCTTATAGCTGAACGACCTCAGACTGCTCTTCGTGGAGGCATGATTATCTGAAACACGCGTATGCACGAATTAGAGGGAAACTTTTAGAGATAAACTCTAACGCACGAAACGAATATGAAAGAAGTGAAGGAATTCCTAAATGTTGCAGCCTCCTAATTATAGATGTGGCGCGCTTCACACTGTTAACTAGGACTCTACAGACCCGACTTCATAGACTCTCTAGGACTCTTGAACTCTGGGCTCTGATACCAAGTTTGTCACGCCCCGAGCCTACACCCTGGGCGGGACTGGCACTCGAAGACCATTGTTGGCCCTAAGCGAACCCTTAGCGTGACTTACTGAACTCAGCGGAAGACTTAACTCATCAAATAAACATTTATGAAGAAACTAGAATGTCATAAAAGAACATTCAACTGGCCATTTAGGCAAACTCAAGTCTTTAACATAAGAAATGAAAAGTAAAGGTATTTGAAATAACTAACTGACTGTCTGTCTATGAAGCCTCTAAAACAACTGAGATGGATGTTGAGACAAACCACACAACATCCTAATGGACTAAACTAGAAAGCAATGAAAATAGATCCTCTGAAATGCAAGGAGGCTCACCGACTGACTCTGAACTGCTCACTGGATCAACGGTGCGTTGAAATGCTGATCCTAGTTACATGTGTTTGCATCATATGACGATGCAGGCCAACTGACATCAGTACATTGAATGTATGAGTATGCAAGCTGGAATGCTAAAACAACATAGGTTTGAAAGAGAATCTGAAAGAAACACTTACCTTGGCTCTTCTCAACTCAACATAACTGAACTCATTTCAATATAAAGCAATTTAAGACAAGTGTAATATAAAGAAAAGCTGTTTAAAAACATGTTGTCAACTCTGTGTGTATGCAAAGATACATAAAACTCTGAGATGTATGTAAAAATACAATAAACTGATGTATATAAAAATACAATAAACTTTTGTGGGAGTTTCTCTAACCGACAACCATCACATAAGAGCTATAGTGATGATACATTGATCTACCTCACGTTGCCAGCGCATCCTATACCCGGCCAAAGGTATAGGACCTGAACTACTAAGTGGATCCACTAGTCTATTGTGAAAAGGTTTCATCTAAAAAGTATGACCCTTTTCTACCCATTGTGGCTACATGGTTTATAGAGGCTGTGAGTTATCTGAACTCTCCCCCATATCGGTGCTCAATACTACTCCCAAAAATATACTAGCTCTTTATGTTTTTAAAAACATACTTCTTTTTGTGATTTGAGATTAGTGCTAAAAAACTTAGCTCAAAGGCTATCTTGGAAAATCTCAGTTTCCCTGCTTGCTTCATTTAGAAATCAAATTACTTTTTTCTGAAAACTATCCCGAAGGCTCTTTGAAAATCTCAGTTTTCGCTCTTATTAAAATGTGAAAACATTTTTAAATCTCTTTGGGAATACATAGTCCCCATATACTTCTTTGAAGAAAAGAACTTCAACTTTACTCTTTACTGAACTCAAAACTTAAGTCTTAAAACAAAGTTAAAACATTTGTGAAAGACTTTTATAAACTTTAAGAACTTATCTTAACTTGACTCTTGACTTCTCTTGACTTTGACCTTCACTGCTCTTGACTTGACTCTTAACTGATCCTTGAATTGAATTATGGATTCAAGATTTAAGATTTGTGACTGGAAAAATCTCATGTTGTTTAGGAATGATTTTAGATAGCTAAACATGAGAAAAAACAGAAAATCAAAATACGAAGGTGGGTCCGCGACGCGAAGGCATAATTTATTTTTTGGTTCCGAAAACGTTTTTGAGGCAGAACACCTCGTGTCAGCTCCGCGACGCAAAGCAGAAATTTTCAAAATCTGGGACCAAGAGTGAATCGCGCAAGCACTATCAAATTTCGTCCGACGAAATTTCTTCTTCGTTTTTCAGTCCCAATTCACCCAAACTCGATTCTTTTTCTTAAATACTTTTTGATACAGATACCCATCACATGTACGTAAGAACCTAACTCGAAACGATTCTATAATGCGATGTAACGAATTCAAAAACTTCCCAACTCAGTCAAATTCAAGAACAATATATGATTCAAGAATAGGTATCAAGATCATCAATATTCAAATGCTTTTAGCACGAATCCAAACTAAAATAAATATGTTTGGCACGTGGGAGAACGATCCCAACGTTATGAGAGCCTCACATACCTGATCGAAGCAAATCCTTAGCGAAAACACCAACGTTCTTGATGAAATTACCCTTTTCTTCTTCCTCTTTTCTCCTTAGCCCTAGCATGAAAATTCTGATTTTCTAAAACTGACTAAGTTCAGTCTTGACCCTTTTAAACTCCTAAAATCGGACTAAAATAATAGGGTAGTTAAAAGACTAAAATACCTTTTAAAAATCTCGGATTGGACATTTCCTTATTCCAACAGCCCAACTTACAAAGGGGATAACTTGCTCATACAAACTCGGAATCGTGCAAACTTGGCGGCGTTGGAAAGATCATATCTGGAATTACACCTAACTCATCCTGAGCTAGGAGTTATGGTCGTTTGAAGTTGACCAAAAACTCACTTTTCCTAACTTGACAAATTTCCAAATTTTAATTCTTTCAAAACAAAAAAAATGACTATTTCCAATGATAAGTTTCTTCTTAGTTATATCAAATTGCAAGATGTTACATAAATTTTGCATGAAACAACTAAAGTGAAAGTTCTCTAAATTATAAAGTACCAATCTCCAATTTATCTATTTGAACTGATTCATTATTATTTGGTACGCTTGCGCCAAAGTGAACCAAATTCGTTGTTATTAACATCATGAAGTAGCATCTGTATGCCTAGCATAAAAGAGATTTAATAAAACATGTACATTGTGATTACCTTCTATTGGTTGATCATGTTCATGAAATTGGTTATTCATTTCATCAACTTTATCCTTCTTAAGAATAAATAACTTTAATTTATCAAGCTTTTAAGTTATCCGATATCGAGTTCGTAAATGTTTGTTCCTTCACCAACTTCATTAATCAACAACTCTATTTTTTATCCTCATTCTTTTATTCCATTTTCCTAGTGCTTTCTTCTCGTGCCTTCATAATTTTGTTAAGATGTGTTTTATTTATAACTAGATTATTCACCCTTTTAAACTTGGGAGTTGGGAATGCTTAAATACCTCTCTACTCTTTCCCTAACTTCTCCTACGCAAAAAATAATTAGCCTAAGTTGTACATCACATAGAGTTGACAACTTTTGTGCTCAAGTATCGCATTTTCGGTATTTTTTAAATTCTCTTATATAAATATAGTGTGATTAGTAGTTTAATTATTTCATCATCTCGTTTGAAAGCTAAATTAGGATATATCAAGTAGCTTATTGAGATACTGATTTTGTCAACCTATACATTTCTTATTTATTTGATCTAGACTCTACTTGAGTCATCATATTTATCACGATCCACGACCATCTTGCATTCAGACTTCACGTGGATCTGGAAACTAAGATGTCCCAATAAAATCAAGTTCTTTCTATGGATTTGCAACCACGGAAGGCTACCAACAAGTAGCTACTTGCACTCCATAGGCATAAAGGTAAATCCAACTTGTACTATATGCGGGCTAATAGAAACGGATAAACACATATTACTAGAATGTACAAAGGCTATTCGTTTCTGGGATAAAATAGGACTCATTAATGGGGTCAAGATGATACTGGATAAAAGGGAACCAAATTGGCTCAAGGAACTTAAAAATCTAGGAAACCTCTTCATGCACAGTAGCATCTCTTGGGAATTTGCTTTTCCTTTTTATATCTGGAATATTTGGCTAACTAGGAACCACAACCACCACAATGGAAAGTGTATAGATATCTCAACAAAACAGCCGCTAGACAGATCACTAGAGTACTACTACCTTGGAAGTCATAAACCGGGGGACAAAAGGATCACCAAGGAAGTTGAACTAAAATGGAGGCCACCTGACATAGGCCTAAAATTGAACATAGATGGTTCATACGACTACAACACAAAATGGGGGGGAGCAGGAGGAGTACTAAGAGACACCATGGGAAATTGGATAGTAGGGTTCGCAGCAAAGCTAAATGTAAATTGTGCTTTATACTCCGAGATCATGGCTTTACTAATGGGAATTAAACTAGCAGCCAAGCTACAAATAAACACTTTGCAAATTGAAACGGACTCAACGGTAATCCTGGAAATAATAAATACAGGTCATGTCTCGTACACTAACATCATCACTGAATGTAGGGAATTGCTCCGGCAACTGGGGAGCCCGCAGATCAGCCATAGCAGGAGGGAACAGAACCAGGTGGCCGACAAACTAGCTAAGGAAGGTGCGAGACTAATGCAGGGCAACATTTTTGTGGAATGGATAACTCCTCTTGATTTTGTGTTAAAAACGTTACATGCAGACAAGGATGGAGTACCTTTTGTTACTAATGTAATAGCTACTACTGTACCGGATAGTGTACTTTCTATTAATGCAGCTAACTATGTAGGAACTAATGTAAGCACCGGTCACCGGGTTTGTACGGATGCATATTAAGTATATATAAAAAATTTCTCTTTTCGTCCAAAAAAAAAATTGATGAGCAAATTAGTTTTAAGTCATGAATTCTTTATGCACTTTTTAAAAATACTTGAAAAAAGTAGAAAGTCTAACAGTTATTTTGGAGAATATAATCCATGAAGTAGATTTAGGATATATTCAAGGACTCCTTATTTATTAAACCATTCTTTTTAATTATATATTTTAGGACTTTTTAATTATTAACTTTTCTAATAATCTTACCACATATTTTAGGACTTATTAATCCTCAAGTTTCCTAGTATCCTTTACCATATATTCTCCTCTTACCATATATTTTATGCTTTTAATATATTATATATTAT